TGCCATACTGTCCCGAGGACATCAACCAATTAGGCAAAGACGTCTTCTCCTTTAGGTAACTGCCATTTCTGGCGTTTATTCTAGGTTTTTTTAAATCTGCCGTGGCTGTGTGAGTTGTATAGTTCAGACAAACACATTGTCGGCCAGAGTATAAAAGTAATAGTTTCTGATGTATGTATGTATGTTGGAACGAATCGCTGTCATCCCTAGCGAAATTTAGTTTGAAACCAAATCATCCTACCTTGTCGGCAGAACCAACAACCAAAAAGGAACTTAAATTTTATGTGCATAATTCACGTCTGTATGTTTTGAACTGAAAGTGAGTTACAGAATTTCAGCCTAGACAGAGGATGATCTTAGTTAACTGCCAGACTGTCAAGTAGACGAATAAAAGTAAATAAAATTCAGAGCACAGTGCGTAAGATATGTGAAGAGATGTGGAGACAAAGAATAAAAATGTCATTCCATGGCTTCTCTCTTCAAACGATTATCCTTAATAGCGTGCCCATTTAGAAACTAAGCCGCTGGCGAGGGAAACAATAAAAAGTGCACGTTTCTTTTTTAAAATACATACCCAGCGCTAATGGCACCTCAGTTGACTGGGCAGTATACTCACATGCATATGCATATATACATACACACATAATACAAATATACTTAGTTATGAAACCCAAACAATATGCGTATATGTTCTATGGTAAAATAAGAGCACTTACGGCTGCGCGCAAACATAAATACACATAGGTGCTAGTATGAATAAGTAAAAAAACCTACTTAGATACAAACTTACATACATGTTTATGACATCGTTGCTGCTTCCGCAGACAATTCAGATACACGTGCGTCTGACAGCATTTAAAATTGAACGGAGAAAGAGCGGAAATACAGAGAGGGTACAATATAAAATGCAGGTGTTAGATAAGAGTTTAAGGGCCGTTTTCATAGTTAAAAATTAATTCAGAGTCGGCAGTAAACTTTCAATTATCGTGTTGAAAATCTACATTAATTTTTTAAATAAAAAATAATAATTCGCAACATGTATGTAGACATATAACGTTGCAATGGCCTGGCCAATTTAACTCATTTTGGTTTTGTTGACTTTGTCGTTATAAAGAGAAGGTGGCGCTGGAGACGAGTTATTAATAAAATTCGTATTTATGATTGCATTTGGTTCACATTTGAAATATGTATTTTTTATAACTTCAAGAGAAATGAATTTGTGTAAAAATCTGCCGCCAGGTGGTGCTGGAGTCGATCCATTACTAAAGTACGTGTTTATAGTCCGATTTGGTTCATATTCAAAATATATTTTGCCAATGAGAAAAGAAATGCGTTTGCCAAAGAATGCCTCGCTAGGTTACGCTTGAGTCAAGTTATTTCTTTAAAGCGTGTTTATGGCATTGGAAGGAGAAATAATTTTACACAAGTTTTATCAGGTAGATGACGCTGGAGTTGAGTTATTTCTAATAGCCGTTTATCGACGGCTGCGTGGCCGAGCGACCTTACACGGCAGCCGATTCGGAACGTCCTTTCTCAGAAAATTTTTCAAGAATGCCCCATCTCAGAATTTGTTTAAAGAACGCCCTATCTCAGAATTTGTTGCAAAAACGCCCTATCTCCAAATATTTTCAACATATTTTTAATTTATATAGCGGTATCTGCGATAGGGCGTTCCTCAATCAAACTCCGAGATAGAGCTTTTTTTGATCAAATTCTGAGATAGGGTGTTCTTCAACCAAATTCTTGAGTAGAGAGTTCTTGAGACATTTTCTGAGCTTCCGAGATGGATCGATCTGCTCATCCGTCAATATATGATTCGATTCAGCTCATAATCATAAAGGGAACAACCGAGTCTTTATTTTCTCTACGCTTAAAGCTTTATACACACATTTATGCAATAAAAAGTCCTTTACAGAATATTGTACAAGATATACTCCAGTATTATAGGATTTATTTCATATATGTATGTAGGTGCCCTAGGCACCTGGGTATTAAAAGGAATTACAAAAGTGACGAACTAGCAAGTGAAGGTACGACCAACCACATCCTCCCCAGAAAGGGTACGGTAGATATACTAGTATCAATAGCCGGCTTGAAAAGTTTTTTCAATTGATCACACAGTTAAATTAGCTAACACCTGAACCAGGCCTTGCAGAGAGCTCTCAGTATTCGAAATAAGATCATCAGCGCAAAAAACATTGTTTGCTTTCTAGGCATCGTGAAGCAGGCCGTGTATTTGCTGGTATAAAATAAGGTTTAAATTAAAAACAAATTTAATAAGAGATACAAAATTTATGAAAAAAATTACATTTAATTTAAGACATTCCAGTTCAGAGTTAAAAAAAAAATTTAAAATAAATGTCCTTCACTTGCATATCCCAACAAAAGTTAATACATATGTATATGTACAAATTTAGTATTTCCTGTTTTCCCCAAATAAACTTCCCTATATTTCATTTGCGAACAACCCATTACCTACGGGAGTTCGTGACACAAGGTCACTATCGAGTTGGCGTCAATTTGCCTTCATGAACTTGACCTACCACCGGTGCCAAAAGCACAGCCTGACTATTTACCAACAAGCACAACTAACTAACAACTAACAATTTATCTCTTTTTTACGCTTCGCGCCTCATTGAACAGCACAAACATTTTATGCTTACACTTTGTTGCTGTGCAACTAATTTGTATGCTTGGCCAGTCATAAAGTTAATTAATGTACATACAACATTTTTAGTGCCAATGACCGTTAAATTGTAACTTTGTAACTACATTTTGTGGAATAATTTTTCGACATTTGTCTTAAAGTATTGCTATGTAAAAAGTTTGCCGTTGTAAATGTTTTTCAACGGTCTTCTGACCTTGGTTTGTTGGCGCTTGCTTAGCATGGCCTGTGTGAGGATGTTAAAAGTTAAAGTTTTTGGCTATACATCTGCGAAAATTTATATTAATTAGCCAAATGGCACATAGCGGCTGGCTTATTATGAGGCGAGTCAGATAAATTGGTGCACTTAGTCTTGGTTGGTTGTGTGTGTATTTAATAAATTTTATTAATGTCCATTATCTCTCGTAAGCTCGATACCGTAACTATTTCAAGCAACTATAGGCATTCAGGGATTGCGTGATAACAACAACAGCCACATTTTACGAATTTGAGCATAAAATGGTTTCAGTTGAGTTGCTCTAGAGCCGTCTTGGTCAAGAGGAGTTAGATCAGCGTCGTACCTATGCATCGGTTTGGGTTCTTCTTTATCAAACGCGACACCCCTGTATCTACTCATATTCCCCGAATACCTCAATTGTACGCTGGGCGTCTGCTAGCAGATATTCACATGCCTTTCTACCACACTTGACTTCCACTTTGAAATACTTTGTTGCTCTCGCCTCCTCTCGGAGTATAAGTATCGCTCAATTTTCGCTCCCTTAACTGCGCCACGACACTATTCGACAAACCAGTTGTTCCGGCTGTGTGGTAATAACCAACCACCTTTTCTGCAGAGAGAAATGCAAGCTTTCTAGTAATTTAAATCCAGCCAATGAAGAATGCCTTGTTTAAGCAGAATTTTGAGTCGAGATCGAAATTTCTCGGCTATCAGCTTCACGCATGCTTATCTTAGCTTCGTTTATTGATCCTACTCGACGTTCGCTCTTCGGATGAAAGTCACGTCAAGGCCACTCGGAGGGTATCTTCTGGTACTTTGATCAGGGTACATCCTGGATTTCGGTAGCCTTGTTTTGATAAGGATAGTCAGCAATTAGACAGAGGCACCTTCCCTTGCTTTCGTGAAGTAATGCCAGACGGCGCTTCCGCAGTGTTTTGAAGCATGAACAGTAGGGTGGTCTTTGAAATATCAAAATCATCAAAATCAAAATATCAACACAAATTAGGGGTGCTTCCAGGGTTTAAATTTTTTTTTTGTACGGCGAAAATTTCACAAATTTTAAAATTTATCAAAATTCTGTCGAATTTTTGAGATTTTTAAAAAAGTTTTAATATTTTTCCAACCCTTGTAGCGACACCTAAAATTTTGTTTACAATTTAGAAATTTTCGTGGGAAGGTTTATGAAAACCGAAACGCATTTCATCCAAGACGGATGCACGCTAGCCACAGCACCAATTGAGCGCAAACGTTGCTGACTTCAGTAAACCCTTAAACTGAGCAAGTCGGAGTGGCGCTTATCTTTCTGCCGTGATCCACGGCTGCCGACGTTATCCAGAGTCCGCGAACTGACATGCCAGAGGTCGGGCTTCAGTATTGTCGTTCAACTGTAACTGCACACCCATAAGAGCACTCCACTATGTATGTATGTACATACATAAGTATTTATCGCTGTCTATTCTTGTTTTCTTACGATAAGAATTTTTTATTTTTTTTGTAAAAATTATGAAGAAATGATTCGACATCTTCGATTCGTATGAAAACAAGTGTGTAGCACATTTTATAAAATTTTTTTTATATTTCTCATTTTCTCAATGAGAACTTTTGACTGCACTTCTAATGCAAATATAGCTCTGAGGACATTTTGGATACAAAATAGTTTGTTACTGATACCAGATACTGAGAAGTTTTGACTGTTTTTTTTTTCTTTTTATTATTTGAGTTAAATTTTTTTCTAATAAGTACATACATATTCATTCTTTAAAGAAAACAACACTGCTGAATTAAAAAAAAAAAATTACATAAAAATTCACACTTTTTATTCAAAATTTTTTGGGTATGCAATTTAAAGCCGATTAATTCTAGATGAATGAAGTGCAAGTTTGGGGTGGCTACAAAATACTCTAGATTTTTTCACTTTTTTTGTTATTAATAGCTAAGATTTGCCATTATGTGAGTATTATATAGTTACGATAACCACTATATATAACTCTAAATATACATACTTGTACTAGAAAAACTGTGTTCTAAATATTCCAGTTATCCCAAAGAAAATAAAAATTCAATTTTAAATGAAAGCATAATTTCACTAACAATTTCTTTTCTTTCACAAACTTTCAGGGGCTTTGGCAAACAAGGATTTCAATGTCAAGGTAAGTTCAAAACATTTATTACAAAATTTTCTAACTCAACGACTGACGCAAGAGAAAACGAACGCAAAAAACAAACGCATACAGCTACACAGACACAGACACAACGAAGTGCATAGTTGTTACTGGCATGAAAAGCTATCACTTAAACTTTTACCCAACTATCATTGACAACTAATGCAATACCGTATGTACATTAGGGATGTTAAGTTTTTCGCTTTTTACGATCCCGGGATTTTCGAGATCCTTCTATATTGTTTGAGAAGTTCTCCTACCATAAAATAAATAATAAATGAATGTGTTCGAAACCTACTTTTTAATTTAAAGTGGCGTTTTTATTTTTTCTCTCTGACGTCAGGATTTATTTTAAAGGACTTTGTAATTTCAAAGATATTATTAATTCCAAAAATGATTTAAAAATTTCAATGTAAATGTATTTAGAATAAAAATATGGGTACCAAATGCAAGAGGAACATTCTTTAGAATTAAAGAAAATTAAAATTTTTTTAATTCACAAGGACGAATAAGTAATTTTTAAGCTGATAAAGTTAGAAGGACGAAATTGATGGATGTTATCGAGTTTATATACGTCCTTAACATCTAATTTTTTTTTTAATAATTATTGCGAAATTTCCAGGATGAAAGACAGTTATTGAAAACTTTTATTTATAAAAGTCATCATTCGTATAAAAGTTATCAACAAATTTTGCAGTTAAGAATGCGTAGGGAAACAAAAGTTTACTACGACTTACACAAACGACTTTTATAAAAATGATTTTAAAAATAAAGGTCAGTGACTGATTATTATTTATGACCTTTATAAATAACAGTCTTCGATAACTGTTATCTGAGACATATAACTTAAAAATTAAAAATAACTGTTATTTGCAATTATTTAGATAAATATCAAAAATAATTGTTATTTTGGGCTCAATAATATAAAAGTCAGAAATAACTGTTATTTAAGGAGTAATTAAATAAAAGTCAAAAAATAATTGTTAAAGAGCGATTTTTTTAATAAAAGTTGTAACTGTTACGGTTCCTGGGCGTTTTTATTATTGCCGTCAGTGCAAATTATAAATCCCGCAATTATTTGTCAAGAATCCCGGGAATTTCGAGACCTAAAGAAGATCGGGATTCCGGGATTAACATTCCTAATGTACATACATTTATCCCATAATGGACTTATAGATTGTGATCGCTCAGTAATACGCTCGAACAAATATATTTACTTTTATACATGCTTGTGTACGTATAGATTTACTTACTTACTTAGATGCAATGGCGACACGAACGAGTTTAAGGCATGTCGCAGCAAACTGACTTTACTTTTTAAATGCCTGTAGCAAAACTTTTGTTCGCATTTTAATATTGGCGAAAGAACGGACAGCATAGGAAGCAAAGAAACATTTTCAACTTTTTGAGTACTCGTATCATCACTAACTTTCTGTGTCGTTCTTTTCTGTTTCTTCTACTTTACAGTTTGTTCGTATGTTGTGCACAAGCGCTGTCATGAATATGTCACATTCATATGTCCGGGCAAGGATAAAGGAATCGATTCCGTAAGTTTTTACTGAAAAAAATATAAAGAAAATGGCAGAATTATTTAGTGTTAATATTAAAATTTAAATTAAATTAAATAAATAAATTTGTATTTATTGTTCAGTTTTTAAATATTTTAAGAGCTTTTTTTAGAATATTTGGGGCCGTATTCTCAAGTAGGTTTTAAAATTTATCTGCCATTTACGCAAACTTTGCTCTGGACAAAGGGAAGATACATTTTAAAAGCTACTTGAGAAAATGGTACTTAGTTAGTAGTTGTTTCTTAACATTAAATATTTGTTATCATAATTTCTGCATAGTCATTAAAAAGCGTTTCTTTACAATCATTTTTTAAGCCATACGATAACATAATTACTCTTTCGTTTCGGTCACGATTAAGTTTGCTTTTATATAGTGGCTATCACAACTATATGACACACACATATTGACAAGTTTTGGCTGTTTATTTTTTATTATTTAATTCTAATATATTTTTTAATAAAGTTCATTCGCTAACAAAAAATATTTTGTTTTTTACAAAAAATAAATTGCCACAAATCAACGGTTTTTCTAGCTACTTCAAACTTTCACCTTATTAAGCTAGAATTTTATTTTGATGAAACTTTCTTGATTTTTTTTATTTATTTTTTTCCTTTTTTTAATTATAGCGGGCCCTAACCGCCAAAATTACGTAAATTTCCAAAATTTTATTTTTGATGCAGAAATGCTTCTAGATGCTCTAGGAATATTTCTGCATCAAAAAGAAAATTTTGAGGGCTCGATAGGGTTTTGATATACAGTGAACTATAGTTTTATATTAAAAAATCATTAAAACTTAATAATAAAAAAAATAAGCGGTCAAAACTTGTCACTATTTGGATGTCGTACAGTTATAATAAGCCCTATATACTTATGTAAATATGTACATTCATACATAAGTATGAGGGATAGTATCAATATATTTAAGGCATTTTGGACGCTCTCATCTCTGATTCTGATACAACCACATATACAATTGCACTTACACACGCATAGCACCAGCATTCACACATATTTACCTTCCGATACTAATCTTCCAAATAAAAAATGCATAGTAATGTTTATGAATAAAGAAGCACGGCCACATTAAAACGAATCGACCCTTAAGCAAAAATTTCGGTTAGTTTTTTTTTCAAAGATATCCAGAAGAAGTCAGTTGGAGGGAGGCATTTGAATGAACAAAAAATTTAATTTGAACTATTTTAGAAATTTTTTCTGGAAGCATTTCCGCATCAAATTTTTTATTTTTTTTTTAATTTGTACATAAATGGTCAATATGAGTACCATGCACCAAAAATACTTTGTAATTTTTATATTTTCTTAATTCAAATCCTCTTCCTCCATTTGACCTAAAATATTCATCCATACAGTTTCGACACTTTAGTAGTTTTCTTTAATTACTAGAAGTTAACACAACCCAACTGAGATGAAAATGCATAAAACACCACACACACACACAACCCAACTGAGGTGACAATGCGGTAAACACCACGTAACGAAAACAACGGTACCACTCTATAGCTGTAAGGCTATACACAGCGCACAGTGGTAGAAACTGGAATTTACTTTTATTATTTTTTTTATTATTATTTTTATTTTTTTTGTATTTCTTTTTTTTGCACATAGGAGAAATGCCCAGCACCGCCAGGAAAAAATTATTAAAAATCAACGCGAATTCTTAGCCACTTGAATGTTTCTAAATATCCAAAAAATAATAATTTTTAATTTTAGAGGAATTTATTATAACACTTAAAATTTTTAGTTGTGAAATGTTTTCAGTTTGGGTGTACGCCAATTTTTTTTTTTATTGTGTAACATTTATTAATAGGAACAGAAGAATCGATTTACTTCAAAATTGCTACTTTCTTTGCACTTTGCACTGAAAAATTTTAAAGTAAACAAATAAAAATTCCAAATTTTATTAGCTTTAATTCAAAAATGTATTGATTAAATCGATTGAAAAATAAAGGTTCTGGGCTATTTTGCCAATAGATATGGTTGAAAAACAATTACCGGGCTACGCCGTCTTCAGGCTTCGGGAATTACCCGTCTGGAGAGACACTCAGGATGGCTACACCGCAATTCAAAAAAAAATATATATCGGCTTACCATGACTTATACTGATCACTGAGTGCCCAGTCTACACTTTTCAAAGAGGTATAGCATTTCGATACTTCTCAACCTAGTTGTGGCTGAAATGGGACGAGAAGCGGTCGAAAGGTCTCCTCAAGTAGGAATACGGTTTGAGTAGGAGGGTTCTCACGATCCATATCGTATCACAATGGGATCTACGATGTAGTGTAGTGGTAGTGCTAGTGAGGTCACTGGCAGTCACCTCAACCCAGCCTAACCGAAGCTAAGTTAGGTCTACACTGTCCATAGAAAAATAAAAAGTAAGCAAAAAGTATTTCACAATTTTATCATTTGCAGATATTGAAAGCAGAAATGGCATGTGACAGCCAAGTTCCGTATAACAAACACATACATACGTAAACTTACACTCATACAAAAGCAACAAGCACATAATGCAACAACAGAAAATACTAACGCTAACACGAGAACATGCACAGACAATTGTTAAATGAATGCAGCACATGTGAACGCGTCAGCTGTAAGCAAAACACAAAAGTAGATAAGAAAATGCAAAACTTTGTCTTTTGCCTTTTTGTTTTGTTTTTTTTTTTTTTGTAAGAAAGGCACACAAAACCCATATACCTCGGTGTGCATGTTGCAAGTATAAAAAAAAATTTAAAAAAAAAATACTTTTAGTTTGTTTTGTTGTAAACGTAGTTAGGTACTTTTTAATTTTTTGGGTGCATTTCTTAATAATCGCGTATAGTGAAAGTTTTATGCGCGCTTACTGCTTACACACAGACGCAGCGGTGGAGCAGTAAAATGTTGAAAACAAGTAAACATTTTATTTTATGCTTGAATGCAAAAAATTTATAAAATGTAAACGACATAGCTTTCAGTACATCAGAGCACAAAAATAAAATTAAAATATTGTGCTACCATAACTATACGACAGCCACATTTTGACAAGTGTTTAGAATTTATTTTTCATTATATTTTTTATAAAAATGTAGTTCATTCTAAAGCCAAAACCATATAAATCGAGTTACAACGTTGGTAAAAAAATTTATACAGAGTTTTAAGAAAGTATTTTCTTTCGTACGAAGTATGTTTGGCAATTTTTTTTTCAAATTCCACTTTATGATACTAGAATTGCATGGGTTATAAAACTGCAAACACTAAAATGTTTTTAAAATTCTGAAGAAAAAAACGAAATTTTTTTGAAGTTTTGTAAGTTTTTTTAATTTTTGTACAATGCTTGAAACATAGATTTATATGGTTTTTTTTTATAGAATGAACTATAGTTTATAAAAAAAATATTAAAAATATATAACAAGAAAAAAGTCAAAGCTTGTTAATATGTGGGTGTCTTATAGTCATGTTGAGCACTATAATTCTTTGTACAACTCTATCTCTCCCACATACAACATTTACGCCATTTTTTCAACTAAATTTATTTTTGTTGCTTGTTTTCTTAGCGCAGCAGCTTGGAAAATGCGCATGAGCAGCGAAATGCAGGAAAATCGCACAATCGCATATAGTATGCACACATGCTCGCGCAAAACAAACACACTTACACACGCGTTGCAAGCTGCAAACGTGTTGCATGCCACGCGGGCGGTGAAAATTTTGTGCACATTTTGCTTAGGGTTTTATTTTTACGACCTTTGTTCCCCCTTCCCCCCCCCCCCCCCCCCCCCAAAAGTGGCACAAAGTGCAGTGGAGCATGTTTGAATCAACACACACACACATACAGCGTACGTTGCGATGTGTTTATGTGACGCTATGGCGCGTACAAACTATTTGCAGTTGTTCCTGTCGCAAACGGCTGGCAAACAATGTCAAAAGTGTGTGAAGTGACAAACGGAAAGCGGAAGTTGAGTCAAGTGGTAACTGTAATTTCTTACTTTATTCAACTTCGCTTTTCTAGGAAAACTAGGGCGATAGGCATTTTACTTTATTTACTGTATTTTAACCGTCTCCTGACGATTGCAAAGATAATATAACGTAGCATGCCGTGCGATATGTGCCTACCGGCGCCAATTTTGGTTTGAATTTTACTCTAATTCTCAGAATTTTCGACATTTTACTCCATAAGATAACTCTATGTGTGCCTTAGCTTGCAAGCAAACAATGCACGGTGGTTCGAAACCGGCATTGAGTGTTCATAAATCACTGGAGCCTTTATTTTGCACTAAATCTGATTAATTATTTTTAAATGAAACCTTTAAAATTTGAAAGAGAGCAATTGAGACTGATTTTTGAATTTTTATTTGATTATATTAAATTTGTTTGAGCAAAGTGCAGAAAAAGCACCTATTTTAAAGAAAACCGATTCTCCTTTGCAAGTTAATAAAGGTTTTGCAATAAAAACTAGTTGAAATACAATTGTTTGGGTTCCCCCAAAACGAGAAAAATATCACACAAAAAATTAAATGTTTCCCCAAATTTATTTATTTTTTTTTTGGTTTTAGAAAAAACCTAGGTGAAGTGCCTAAGAGCTCGCATTGATTTTAAAAACTCAAAATTTTTTTTTGTGGAGCAAACTATTTTTAAAATATTTAAAATTTTTCTTGTGAATCTTTTTTTCGTTTTAGGGAAACCCTACAATTGTTCTCAACTAGTTATTATTATGTTACATTTAATAAATGGAACGGGAGAAGAAATTCTCTTAAAAATTCCTATTTTTTCTCTTCAAAATTCCTACTTTGATTTGAATTGAATGGAATCAAATTGGTTGAAAAATTAAGGCTGTGTACTATTTTGTACATTAAATTCCAGATTTAAACCACTGTGCAATGGTAGCACAGTTACTTGCATACTTTTCTTCTTTTAATTGTGTTGTGTGCCTGAGAGAATGGCAGTGGAACGTTTTCCACCTTCACACGCGCACTGCTTAATTTCTCATATTCAATTTCAACGTTTATTTTCGAATTCCGAAAGTCTTACGAATTTTGCTTAATTAGCTTAAAATGTCATTGTTCGATAGGAAAGACAGTGCAAAATGCGCCTAAGCTTATTGCAGATAGTTCCTTATTGCAGATAGTGCCTAAAAATATGCAAGAAAACACGCTCTGACTTAACCAGATACAGCACAAGCACAACCCTACACGAAATGATGCATATTTGCAATTCTCAAACGCCATAAAATTGATCAAAGCATTTAAAAAAATATCTGACGCCTAGAGCTAGCTGAAATCTTATTTCATTTTAGTATAAGCACTTATGTATAATTTAAGCAGCAAGTGTTAACTTCATATACATATTCACATACTATAGTATACATTTTTTCTTCTTTTCTGGTATGCTTTCTTTCATTTCAATTCACAACATCAACAACAACTCAACATCATCAAAACATTCAACTGCAACACATCTTACGTGTCTTGTGTCGTTTTATGCGTGCAATATCACCGACCGTCCCCCTCACCAACGATCACATAAAAAAAATAATAAAAATCAATAAAACGCAATGTAAACGTCAACGTCATCAACGCAATCAACGCCATCAACATCAAAACGAAAATTGAATATACAAACATCAACGAATTTATTGCTTACTGCAAATTGTGCAACTACGCGGTAATATTTACACCTACTGTGACAATAAAATAAAAACAACAAATAAATAAATACAAATCTTTTTTTTTAACTATCAAACTGCACTTTTTTATAATCTTTCATATTCGAAAAATGTGTAAAATTCACAACTCGAAAATCGCAAATTTATCTGCAAATAAAATTTATAAAAAAATATTGTTGTTCACTCATAAAAATGCAATCACTGTCGAAACCATCTCCTTTCAATTACAAACAATGCGCCAACTATCTGCATCATAAAAACAACAAAAAAACGGCAATGTTTTATGATAACAATAAACGCTGATATGGAATTGATTGCACAAATGTTTGGGTCGTGTAATTGGTTGGAAATATCTTTTTCGGTTATGTAACGAAAACGTTGCACATAAATAAAACTTTGATAAAACTTTAAAATTAAAAAAAAATACAAAACTGGATTGAAAATATTACTTTTACATACCTAAAATTCATACTTTGTATAAAAAATTTTTATATAATAAAAAATTTATAAAATATTACAAAAAAAAAACAAAAAACTTTAAATTCGTTATTCGGGATTTCAACTTAATTTTTGTAAAAAAAAATTTATAAATAAAATAATTGGCAAACAACAAAAACAACAAATAAAATCTATCGAAAAAATTTTATAAACTTTAAATTTGAAAAAAATTCCATGAAAAATTTATATAAAAATTATAAAAATGTGAAATCAACTTTTTTAAAAAATTGCACCAATTCATTCAATTATTTTTTTTTCAAAATAATCAAATTCGGATGTTTTTTATCTATGCATTAATTTACTTTAAAACTTGTGAGTTGCAATGTATTTACTTTTGAATTAAAAAAAAATTAAAAAACTTTCAAATAAATTCACCGTAACTGAAAAAAACTATGAAAATCGAAAAAATCAATCAAATTACACTTCTACAACTGTTGTCAATTTAATAACTTAAAAAATATTTGAATACACTTAAAAAATTCTAAAATATCACCTTGAATTAAAAAAAAAATACTAATTTTATTTTTCCAAATTTTGTCTAATTTACAATTTAAAAAATGTTTTAATAATGCAAACAAAAACAATGTTACTCAAATTATTGTCAAATTAAAACCAAAAAACAAATAAAAATATTTTAAAAATACTAAAATACTAAACCTTGAACAAAATAAAAATTGCTCCAAATTAAAAATTATGTATTAAACAAAAAAAAAATTTAACTACTAAAAAAAATCCAAATATTGTTAAATTTTAAAAAATGTTAAATAATAAAAAAAACTTTAAATAATATAAAAATACTACTCCTTGAACAAAAACATGGTACTCCAAATTAATAATGTCTTTTACAAAAAAAATACTGCACCATGAAATAAAAATTTTACTAAAAATTAAAAATAATTTTCACTAAAATGGCTAAATTTATTTGCAAAAAAAATACAATTTTTTTAAACATTTTAACCATTCTAAAATGCCATAATATAAAATGATTCTTCTTATTTGGAAATGAAAAATAAAACAATAAAAAATTATTTTTACGACATTGTTAAAACTCAAAACTACAATTCCAAAAAAAAAAAATTAAACAAATATAAATAAATTTAATTAAACAACAAACAAATTATTTGGCACTGACAAAAAATATAATTCGGACATACAACTCACAGGATTCACCACAAACAGTACATCATTTCGAACCATTCACATTTGGTGGGCCAACTTTTTGCGACCACTGTGGTTCGCTACTCTACGGCATCTATCATCAGGGTCTCAAATGCTCAGGTAAAAGCAAAGTATGAACGTGTGTATGAAGATTGCTTACTAAGCGCCAAGTGAGAGTTAAGAAAATATGTATGCAAGTGAAGCAACTAAATGTGTGTGAGTTTTTTTATGCTTCGAAAAACCAAAATTAAATAATTTATATAACGAAAATTAAGAATATTTGGGTACTTTGGGTATATAAAAATATTTTAAATTTCTTTCCTCATCATTATCATGAACTCATATCTGCCTTATGCTCAACCTATTTTTCATCTAGCAACCAGCGAAGGCTACTGTCAATCGCATCCGCGCACCATTGTATGCATCCGCACATTATCCCATTTTGCCGTGAATTCAATTTAAATATTCTCTTTTTGCGTCGCATAAAAAACGGATTGTGCATAAAGTCCTTACAGTACAATATAGTATATGGATATATGTGTGTATGTGTGTATGTATGTATGTGTGCGCTTAAGTGTTCGACCGTGCGTGTTGTTAAGCGGCATTAAGACACTTCTTGCAATTTCTGCTGCTTCAGCTTCCACTTTGCGAAGGTATTCGCGCATTCAATTCTTTGGATTTTCATTTCTCAGTAAAGAATATACCTCAGCCCTTGGTGGCAGTAAGCAGTAGGTACATATGTATATGCAAAAACCACATATTCGCACTTATTTAGTATGCATGGTGGCACACGAACTAATAATGGTAATTAATTAAGCATAAGCGTTAGCATAAGTGTAATTTTAATTAAAATATGGAAAACAACAACGGGTAGAAAAGTAAGGAAAATCAGCGAAATGTTTGCATTAAAAATTAATGTAGACTTCGCATATGTGCTCACTCGTGTGCTAATTTGATCACAAGAATTTCTTAATAAAATAAAGAAAAGAAATAATGGTGTGACATGGCGTATGAGTGATATTTTACTAACGTCCATATTTCATTGAGGCCTTTATGAAATCTTTTAGAGAAAATTGTTTATTTTATTATATTTAAAATAATTATCGATACATCTTTTCAAACTAAGTGGCTTAAGTCTAAAATAGTCAGAATTTGCAAATACGCCTTTAGCTCTGGTTCCCGGCCATAGGAACATACACAGAAATGAGAGAGCTGATAAGTTGGCTTACTCCGGAGCATCTCTTTATGACTCCACTCGGTCTCATCAAAAGGGAACTGCATTTTTAGTTTGCACGTATGGCTGATACACGTTAGAACAACCTTCAAACCTGAAAAACTGAGAAAAATATATGGACACAGTATGGCAAATCAAATTCAGAGGAACAAAATGGGTCTTTCGTAAAACCTTCGGTGCCAGTCTAGAGGAAAGTAAGGAAACGGTCCTATACTATCTTTGCGAGTGCCCACCATTGGCACGTATGAAGCATGAAACACTAGGGAGATTCTAATTACTAACTTAAATAGATTCATCGACAAATCTTATTGGTTTAAGGAAACTCAGATAATATCAGGGATCCCAGAGAAATCGTGCCAAAATGATGCTCTCAGAGTTTTTAAGGCACTGAGAGGGTTCTCAGGCGACACTCTTACCAAGAATTGAATTGCATTTTTTAACAGTCGTTGAAGTAGTGTTGCTACTCATCAAGTAGCTCAGTCTTTTGTAGTATATCTCTGCCTTCCTATGTAGAATGTACTTCCTTCACTTGTTGTTCCTACATCCATCCTCTCAGGTTTCTGAGAGAGATTCGGTTTCTTCGACCGCATAATTCGTTCTATTAATCTATCCGCCCTATTATTGTTGTCGACGTCGATGTCGATGTCATTTGTTCATCAAAAAAATGGCCCTCATAAGACCAACTGCAGCCACGCTGACGACAGTATTTTTTAAGGAAAGATGTTCCTCGCAAATATACAGTGATCAGCGTAGCTGGAGTTGGACTTACGAGGGCTATTTTTTATGCAAAAATTACATCGACAATCGACATCGACAATCATAATAGGGCCGAATAACACATTTTCCAATGTTCTGTGCTCTTTAGATTTTCTGTACCTATTTTTTCGTCCATATTTGCATTGTATTTATCTCGCTCATTTTTCCAAGCGTACATGGCAATGAAAAATTGTGTGTTCTGCGAACTCAATTTCAGAACACTGTTTACATAAGCGGTCTGACTTTATTTTGAAACGGTGAAGATATTGAGCGAAGCCTCCATGTCCACTGAAAGCTTGCATGAAGTAAAAATTCATTGAACCATGTGGTCTAAGTATTAACCCATTCCGGCAGGGGAGGTATCAGTCTTTGTGTTTTACAATTTTTTTTTTCACTTTTCTTATTGCCTTTTAAGGTAGCGGAAAATATCCCAACTCTCCTCTATCAGTAAATCAATAGAAAGAAGATTTGGTAGAACTCGAATCGCTATTTATTTTTGTGCAAGATTTCTGCTCAGTCGACTGAGCACTGCTCGGTTTTCGGCTACCTCTATCGAACTGCTCCCAACGGATGCAGCATACAAGATTTGTGTTAGCATCGCGTTGCCTATTAGACGTCGGATTCCATCTGAAGGACCTCGAAGTCTCGATTGTCGGCTTGCTAATTTGAAGCATTTTCGGCTTCAAGTGGAGCGATGCGAGGTTCTTACACTGTAGAATTTTGTAAGACCTTTCAGCAGACTTCAGGCGTCTGCACTATGCAAGTCTCGCCTACTGGACTACGGAATCATTTCCAGACAAAGATACCTTCAAGAGGCGAATTGGAGTAGGATTCAGTCCTGATCTCGTGCACCGATTTAGATAACTTCTGGTTAGTTTAGAAGGTAAAAAGTGGGGCATACTCTTAAGAACTCTTACTTAGCCTCGATTCTCGTTTGCCACATCTCTGCAGCATTTTTCAAGCTGAGCTAAGAGCAATCAGCGCGGCTGCAAGATGGCTGACTATTTCTCCTATTAGTTTACATGCAGTAACTATCCTTTCTGATAGTCAGGCAGTTATTAAAACACTTCTTTGTAACAAATCTACATCGAAGGTGGTCATGAAACGTAAACGTACTCTAAATCAACTGACACGGAGTTTCGTCACTCTTGGTACCAGGCCAAAAGACATACCGGGCAACTGTGTGGCACATGAACTAGCAAGGAAAGGTGCCTTGCTGTCGGCAATCGGTACCGCTCGTACCGGAAAAATAACTTTATCCAACGGCAATTATAACATGGTCTGCGGAACCCACATGCAGGATAGCAACGCATATCTAGTCTTAGTTGGATAACCGCAGATATCGCCCTCTGCTCTGCTTGGAGCGACCACTGCTCCGACGTGTAATGGGAACTCTCACCGGGCACTGCCTGATGGGGACTCACGCTGTCATAATGGGTATTCAGTCAAACGATTACTGTTGCGACTGCCACGGTGTGAAGGAATCGAATGCCTATTCCAATGTTCTGTTTTGACGAGAGTTCTTCGACGCTCATTCCTTCAATATTCTTATGAATGTCTACCTGAACAGTACTCAGCCAGTATCTACACTTTTGTGCTCTCCAAATATAACCGATATTTCTAACCAAGCAAGGCAACCAAGGTAGCCTAACCTAACCTAAAGTAGTCGTGTAAAACATTTTACTCAAACCTACCTTAAAGAATAAGCATTTTTTTTATTATTACTACTTTCACTTTAATAGGTTTATTTTATTACCAAGCGAAATCCTGTGGCAAAACATTTGTATAAACAAGGTCAACAATGCTTGGAAAGATGAGGCAATAAAAACGGCTAACAACTAACAGCATATAAAATCATTTGCTTCACAATTGTAAATTGTCCGCAGTAACTAAGCAAGCGTACGAACGACAAGAGTGAATTTATTTGCACACATGACATCGTACATACATATGTAGATGCACGTGTAAGGATATGCAGAGACTAACACGAATATGAATAGGACATACCATAAATGCTAAAACAATAGCGCTGGTACTACGATTTTATGCGCACACACACACGCACGGATATTTTTCAACTCAACTATTTGCCAATGCTCGATGTAGGCCTTCCAAACGGCGTCGAGACTCTATGGCATTCGGTGAGCAAACAACTAACATTTTACGTATGTAAATATACAACATGGTATGTAAAGGGAAGTAACAATAAATGTAAAAACAACAATGGACCATGCAAGCAGTTAGCCGCCCAATACCGCCACAGGGTGTCCACAGTTAATTAAAGGCAAATTTATGCGTAGACAAGCGCTATAAAAGCCAACGAAAAAAAAAGCAAAAACAAACAAGAACTAGTCGTCTACAAGGAATTCGCTTGCTCACACATGCATTTGCAAGCGTAACAACAAACATGCGCGGTAGAGTAGAGTTTTACTTACTTAACTAAGCGCTTAAATATGTTTTGCGGCAAATTTAATTTTTGCTGAATTTTTTACTTATTTAAACGGAATTTATAATTTATAATTACAGTAGCTCACACGAATTTCGCTGTGCAAATTTTGAGAATCTAAACTCACATAAGTGTTTATGTACACACTCTTACATATGCATACGCCTACAGAAGCCAGCGTGAAAGGTGGAAAATTAAAGTTGCTATTCTCTACCTTTTTAAGCTACATTCATATATTTAAATTAAAATTATTTGGAATGAAGTAAGAGATTGGAAATTAGAAACATATCCAAATTAACCATAAAAACCTACCCGGAAACTCCGTAAAAAATTGACAAAAACCGCCAAAAAATATCTTAAAAAGTCTGAAAAAGGTTCATAAACTATTCATAAATTTATCAGTACCGAAATATTACAATTTAGACACCATGGTGTACGATAATTGACATCTGGGCTTTGTAAGAGTACAATTTGCGTCGTCATCAAAAAAAAAACTTTATGGAACACCAAATTCTTTAGCTTCGAATTCACTGCAAAGCCTATATTTTATTAAGAACTGAAACTAGTTTTCTACTGTAGCAGTTATTTTTAAATTCTACTAGGATTTTAGTGAGTATTCTATCGACTTTCGTACAAAACTGGTCGTTGAATGAAAATAAGTTATGGGCTTCCTATGTATATTAA